TTACTCGTCTCTCAGAGGTTGAGAGAGTTGGCATTACTCGTCTCTCACCACCAATATAACATTTTTATTTTTTACATTTGAAAAAGAAATTAAGAGCTTCCAGTGTCTAGAATCTACTTCCAAGAGGAATAGCCCTGTTGGAAAATCTAAATTAGCCATTTGGGCAGTTTACCTATTTATTCTGCAAAGTCCTCTTTTTTTTTTTTTTTTTTTTTGAGATGGAGTCTCGCTCTGTCACCCAGGCTGTAGTGCAGTGGCGCAATCTTGGCTCACTGCAACCTTGGCCTCCCGGGTTCCCAAGCGATTCTCCTGCCTCAGCCTCTTGAGTAGCTGGGATTATAGGCATGCATCACCATGCCCAGCTAATTTTAGTATTTTAGTGGATATGGGGTTTCACCATGTTGGTCAGGCTGACTTGAACTCCCGACCTCGTGATCTACCCACCTCAGCCTCTCAAAGTGCTGGGATTACAGGCGTGAGCCACCGCGCCCGGCCCAAAGTTCTCTTCTTTAGGGCACTTCTTGGGTTTGTACTGAGCCATTGAATTTCAAAGCCTGCGGTAGGATCTAAGATTATATTCAAGATATCACTCTTACCTTACACCTCAAACACAAACCAATGAAAACCCAGCCATTTGCTAGGTGTACAGTCTACTAAATCCATTAGAATTCTGAATACAATTCAATTTTTTTTTCTTTTGATAATTTAGAAAGTGTCTAGAGCGTTGTATCATGCCATGGATTTTCTGGCAAATAATAGGTTGATTCTCTCTTGCCTTTAAGCCGTCTTTGACTTTGGATTCTCATCCCCATTGATCACCTTTCCCTACAGAAATGATCCAGCTCCAGTTCCCATCCTTGTCCCTCTCTGTGTCTTGCAAATTTCACAAGCCTCTGGTGTCAAAAGCATTTTTTTTTTTTTTTTTTTTTTTGAGGCAGAGTTTCACTCTTGTTGCCCAGGCTGGAGTGCGATGGCGCGATCTTGGTTCACTGCAACCTCCGACTCCCGGGTTCAAGCGATTCTCCTGCCTCAGCCTCCTGAGTAGTTGGGATTACAGGCGTCCAACACCATGCCCAGCTAATTTTTGTATTTTTAGTAGAGATGGGGTTTTACCATGTTGGTCAAGCTGGTCTCGAAGTCCTGACCTCAGGTGATCCACCCACCTCGGTCTTCCAAAGTGCTGGGATTACAGGCATGAGCCACTGCGCCCGGCCCAAAAGCATGTTGATGGCCCAGTCACTGCTGCTGTCACAAAGGAGCCAACTAGGCTCCTGGAACTCCATCCTTCCTGGCTTACCCAGGGAGATGAGAGTAAGCTCTGGTTTCAATGATATGCAGGACGTCTTAGGGTAGGAAGAGGCTTGACTTGGAGCTGCGGTTGGTTTGTCCTAGTGTATTTATTCTTTTTTTTTTTTTTTTTAAAAGACGGGGTTTCACCATGTTGGTCAGGCTGGTCTTGAACTCCCGACCTCAGGTGGTTCGCCCACCTTGGCCTCCAAAGTGCTTGGATTACAGGCGTGAGACACCATGCCCAGCCTGTCCTAGTGCATTTAAAATCAAACATTTGTGGCCCAGCGAGGTGGCTCACGCCTGTAATCCCTGCAGTTTAAGGGGACGAGGTGGGCAGATCACCTGAGGTCTGGAGTTCGAGACCAGCCTGATCAACGTGGAGAAACCCCATCTCTACTAAAAATACAAAATTAGCCAGGCATGGTGGCACATGCCTGTAATCCCAGCCACTCGGAGGCTGAGATAGGAGAATCACTTGAACCCGGAAGGCAGAGTTTGCAGTGAGTCGAGATGGCACCATTGCACTCCAGCCTGGGCAATAAAAGCGAAACTTGATCCCCAGAAAAAAAAAAAAAAAAAAAAAATCAAACATACGTTGCCTTGATTAATTTTCTTCCAAAACCCTCTCCTGTCTGGACTGCATAGGAGATTCATATTCCTTCTATTAACACAGCTTTGAGCCTGTTTCTTGTAAATGAATCTGCTATGCTCTGTGCCTAGCATGTGAGCATGCCCGTTTTCCTTGCCTAAGGTTGCATGACAAAGCATCCTACCTCAACTGACAACCATTGCTGGCAGACCCAAATGGACAGGAGGTTTCTTGGCGCCTTGGGGGGTGGGAGCAGGATGAAAATTCAGCTCACCCAGCCTAATTACAATTATGATTATTACTCATGTCTCCATGCCCAGCCTAACAGGCTGGGAGAGCCCGAGGAAGTGAAATTTGCTAGTTCTTTAAATATTGAGTCAGCCAGGTATGACCTAAATAGTAGATCTCTATTAAATAGAACTTTAATTGCAAAACAACACCAATAACAATAACAGCAAATATGTTTCTCCAGTCTAGGTGGTATTATCTATGTTAGGTCAGATAACCAAATTTACTGTACAGACTTGATGGGGCTGCGTTTGGAATATGTACAACTCCATAACTCCTGATGTTCCCATTTCCAGGCCATCAAGTTCAAATTGAAATCTGAGAATTCATGTCAGGAAAGCCCATGACTGCCTGTTGAGAGATTTTGTAAAATCGAACAAAGTACATCCTGACAGATATTTAGATACAGCACTACAGGCCATTGTGACAAAAGGAAATCATGAAACTATACTTTTCAAATCCATTTTTTTTTGAGACAGAGTCTCAGTCTGTCACCCAGGCTGGAGTGCAGTGGCACAATCTCGGTTCACTCAACCTTCACCTCCCGAGTTCATGCGATTCTCCTGCCTCAGCCTCCTGGGTAGCTGGGACTACAGGCCCCCGCCACCGTGCCCAGCTAATTTTATATTTTTAGTAGAGATGGGGGTTTCACCATGTTGGCCAAGCTGTTCTGGAACTCCTGACCTCAAGTGATCTGCCTGCCTCAAAGTCAGGAGTTCAAGACCATCCTGGCTAACACGGTGAACCCCGTCTCTACTAAAAATACAAAAAATTACCTGGGCATGGTGGCCCACACCTGAAGTCCCAGCTACTTGGGAGGCTGAGGCAGAATTGCCTGAACCCGAGAGATGCAGGTTGCAGTGAGCTGAGATCGCACCACTGCACTCCAGCCTGGGTGACAGAGCAAGACTCCATCTCAAACCCAAACAAACAAACAAAAAGACATTGAAGGGAAAATGATAACACGATAACACAAAGGGCAAAATTGTGATCCATCTGGCTTGGGTTTGTTATGGCTTTTTCCCCAGAATCCAGGCCCAATCAAAGTCTGTAAACAGCACATAAAACTGTGTTACCTGCCCTTCTGCCATTCACCATTCCAGGGAACTGCCTGCCGGGCCCAGGCGTTTGCAGATGAAGTAAAGCGCAGATGAATAGGTGAAGCACAGGATTCTGGGGAGGGTGAAACTACTCTGTGTGATATTATAATGCAGATCCGTGCAAGTCAGGTTACATTTGTCCAAGCCCATAACGTACGATAGCAAGAGTGAACCTTAATGTAAGCTATGGGCTTTGGGTGATGATGATGCACAGGCCCATCGATGGTAATGTTTCTGGAAAAGGGTCCTGATTTACACCCTAAGAGAGGGTTCTTGGATCTCGCGCAGAAAGAATTCGAAGCTGGCGAGGCACGGTGGCTCACGCCTATAATCCCAACACTTTGGGAGGCTGAGGCTGGCAGATCACTTGAGGTCAGGAGTTCGAGACTAGCCTGGCCATCATGGCTAAACACGGTCTCTACCAAAAATACAAAAATTAGCCAAGTATGATGTGGGCACTCCCAGCTACTCGGGAGGCTGAGGCAGGAGAATGACTTGAACCCGGGAAGTGGAGGTTGCAGTGAGCCAAGATCGAGCCACTGCACTCCAGCCTGGGCGACAGAGCAAGACTCTATCTCAAAAAAAAAGAAAAAAGAAAAAAGAAAAAGAAAAAGAAAGAAAGAATTTGAAGCTAATCCATAGAATAAAGCAAAAGCAAGTTTATTATAAAAGTAAAGGAATGAAGAATGGCTATGCCAGGCCGGGTGTTGGGGCTCACACCTATAACCCCAGCACTTTGGGAGGCCAAGGCAGGTAGATCACGAGGTCAGGAGTTCCAGACCTTCCTGACTTACATGGCGAAACCCCGTCTCCACTATAAATACATAAGATTAGCCGGGAGTGGTGGCACCTGCCTGTAGTCCCAGCTACTTGGGAGGCTGAGGCAGGAGAATGGCTTGATCTTGGGAGGTGGAGGTTGCAGTGAGCCACAATTGTGATATTGTGCTGGCCTAGAGCCAGAACCGGAGCAAAACTATTTTATAAAATGCAAAACTGTTTTTAGATAAGTTGAAATGGCTGCCCCATTCTCCTCACAATAACTACTGTCCTTGGCCTCTGTAAATAGAACTGCTAGTTTGTTCTTCAAAACTATGTAAAGCTGCTTACCTTTTCTTACCAGTAACTGCTAAAATCTGTGATGTGTAAACAAATGTATATCTTGACTTCTGTAAACCGCTGAGGTAACAAACAGAATGACAAAAGTCCCCTAGCCCTTGGAATGTCCAGAGACCCCCGCCCTTGTCTCCACCCAGGAGGTGAATCACAGAATCCCCTAGCCCTTGAAATGTCCGAAACCTTATCATCCCCATCCCCGCCCCTCACCCCCACTCCCAAGGTGGTTTTTCGGGTATAAAAAATCATGGCACCCTCCTTTTGGCACCACAGGTTGGAGAGACATGAGTCCTTTGTGGTCGCCGGCATAATAAATGACCCTGCAATCTGGCATACTTTTGTCTTGGTGATAACTTTCTACGCTCCGGTCAAATACAACACAATCACAACACTGCACTCCAAAGTGGGGTCAGAGGGAGACTCTGTATCAAAAAAAAAAAAATTTAGCTGAGAGTTGTGGCAGGTGCCTGTAATCCCAGCTCAGCTACTCGGGAGGCTGAGGCAGGGAGAATTGCTTAAACCTGGGAGGCAGAGGTTGCAGTGAGCTGAGATCATGCCACTGCACTCCAGCCTAGGTGAAAGAGCAAGGCTGTCTCAAAAAAAAAAAAAAAAAAAAAAAGAAATGGCTGCTCCATAGGTAGAACAGCCCCAGGGCTGCTGGCTGTCAACATTTATGGTCATTTCCTGATTGTATGCTAAACGAGGGGTGAATTATTCATGAGTTTTCCCAGAAAGGGGTGGGCAATTCCTGGAACTGAACGTTCCTCCCCTTTTTAGACCATATAGGGTACATTGCATGGCGTTTGTAGTGGCACTGGTGGGAGTGTCTTTTAGCATGCTAATGTATTATAATTAGCACATAATGAGCAGTGAGGATGACCAGAGGTCACTTTCATCACCATCTTGGTTTTGGTGGGTTTCGGCCAGCTTCTTTACCACATCCTTTCATCACATCCTTTTACCTGTCCCTTGTGCTGACCTCCTATCTCATCCTGTGACTAAGAACGTCTTAACCTGGGAGGGCAGCCAGTAGGTCTCAGCCAGCAGGTCTCAGCCTTATTTACCCAGCTCCTATTCAAGATGGACTTGCTCTGGTTCAAATGGCTCCGACAGTAACAAACATGCCGCTCTGGCGGGGGACATTGACAATGGGAGAGTCTGTCCTATATGGGGGCAATAGGTACATGGGAAGTGTCTGTACCTTCCTCTCAGCTTTGCTGTGAACTTAAAACTGTTCTAAATCATTAAAGTCTATTGGATTGAAGAAAAATGCAAAGTGCTCGTACTCATGCCTTAATTATAAAATGCCTTACCCACACTTTCCATCGCCACCCATTCCTATCACTCCATTGAGGATGATCAGATAACCTTCTAATTAAAAGGTTATGCTGGGCATGGTGGCTCATGCCTGTAATCCTAGCACTTCGGGAGGCCAAGGTGGCAGATTACCTGAGGTCAGGAGTTCTAGACCAGCCTGACCAACATGGCAAGACTCGGTCTCTACTAAAAGTACAAAACTTAGCCAGGCATGGTGGCAGGCGCCTGTAAACCCTAGCTACTCAGGAGGCTGAGGCAGGAGAATCGCTTGAATCTGGGAGGTAGAGTTTGCAGTGAGCCGAAATGGTGACATGGCGCTCTAGCCTAAGGGGACAGAGGGAGACTCCATCTCAAAAAGAAATAAAACAGTGCTGAAACAATTAAAATACATCATATAAAGTTAAAAAAATAAAAATAAAAACCCCCAAAAAACTTTTTTTTAGGTGATGCCTTGCTCTGTCACCCAGGCTGGAGTGCAGTGGCGTGATCTCAGCTCACTGCAGCTTCCACCTCCCTGGTTCAAACAATTCTCCTGCCTCAGCCTCCCAAGTAGCTGGGATTACAGGTGTCTGCCACCATCCCCAGATAATTTTTGTATTTTCAGTAGAGATGGGGTTTCACCATGTTGGCCAGGATTGTCTTGAACTTCTGCCATCAGGTGATCCACCTGCCTCAGCCTCCCAAAGTGCTGGGATGACAGGTGTGAGCCACCGTGCCTGACTGAACATCAAATGTTTAACTTGCTGATTTGATGAGTTTTTGTTTTGTTTTGTTTTTAAGACAGAGTCTTGCTCTGTCTCCAGGCACCAAGCTGGAGTGCAGTGGCGTGATCTCGGCTCACTGCAACCTCCGCCTCCTGGGTTCAAGCAATTCTCCTGCCTCAGTTTCTGGAGTAGCTGGGACTACAGGCGTGCGCCACCACGCCCAGTTAATTTTTGCATCTTTTAGTAGAGAGGGGGTTTCACCATGTTGGCCAGGATGGTCTCTATCTCTTGACCTCGTGATCTGCCTGCCTCGGCCTCACAAAGTGCTGGGATTACAGGCATGAGCCACGGCGCCCGATGATTTGATGAGTTTTAAGGAAATTCAGATAATGGATATCAAATTTGTATTGAGTTTCCATCCAGTAAACATAGCTGGACCTCATTCTTTTTTTATTATTAACTTTTTGTTGTGGGGGGCATACCTCTCAGCAGAAGCTAGACCTCATTCTTGCTGTTGACTGAATTTTGTCTAAAAGAACCTAGGACCCAGATCAACATAGGACACACATCCTAACCTTCTCCCGCTTTTCTCCACATAGTTAACCAACCCCCAAGTGCCCAACACCAGCCAGCTTGCTGCTTCGGCAGACCGAGCTCCATCTTCAGGGGGCAGCCCTATCCCAACCCCCAACTTGTTTTCTGCCCCAGGAGCCCTCTTCCAAAGGTTGAAAAACCTGACACTGACCTCTCAGCCCTGCTACAGCTGGAGCATGGATATGTGGCCTGAGCCTGGCCAATGGGTCCTGGAGGGGAGCTTCTGGAAAAGACTTCCCCAAGTACAAGGACGCTCATGGAGGAAATCGCTTTCTTGGCTAGATTTGTGCTTATCTGCGATGCCTGGAACTGCTCAACCAACTTTTGACAGCAAAGAGGGATGCCGCTGACATGCTGAGGGTGGCCAAATGCACAGTTGGGAAGTTGGGAAGCACCTCGGTCTTCAGTGTCATGGTTGAGCCCCTGCGTTTAACCCGGAACCCACGCCTCTGCCTTTGAACCTCTGATTATGTGAAATCATACATATCCTTACTGGTGAAGCCACTGGCTCCCAAATTTCTGGTCTCAAGACCTCTTTAAGAGCTGAAAAATTATTGAAGACCCCAAGAAGATTTTGTTTATGAGTGCTATCTTTATGCTAATATAAACAATACGTTTTTATAAAAAATTTGTCGTATTTTCCAAAAGAAAAAGAGATTAGTGGCTGGGCTCGGTGGCTTTACGTGGAGGCCGAGGTTGGGGATCACTTGAGGACAGGAGTTCAAGACCAGCCTGTTTCCTGGCCAACATGGCAAAACCCTGTCTCTACTAAAAATACAAAAATTAGCCGAGTGTGGTGGCACGCACCTGTAATCCTAGCTACTCGGAAGGCTGAGCCAAGAGAATCACTTGGACCCAGGAGGCGGAGGTTGTAGTGCCACTGTACTCCAGCCTGGGTGACAGAGTGCGACAATGTCCCAAAAAAATAAAAAAGATTTGCCAGAAAGTAGAATGGCGGTTGACAGGGGCTGAAAGGTGGGAGGAACAGGGAATTGCTTGATGGATACAGGGTTTCTCCTGGGGAAGATAAAAAATGGTCTGGGGCCAGGCGCGGTGGCTCACGCCTGTAATCCCAGCACTTTGGAAGGCCGAGGAGGGGGATGACCTGAGGTCAGGAGTTGAAGACCAGCCTGACCAACATGATGAAACCCCATCTCTACTAAAAATACAAACTTAGCCGGGCAGTGTGGCATATGCTTATAATCCCAGCTACTCGGGAGGCTGAGGCAGAAGAATCGCTTGAACCCAGGCCGTGGAGATTGCGGTAAGCCAAGATCATGCCATTGCACTCCCACCTGGGCAACAAGAGCAAAACTCCATCTCAAAAAAAAAAAAAAAAGTTCTGGGGATGAATGGAGATGATGGGGTGCACAGCAATGTGGGTGTATTTTGTGCTACAGAACTAGACACCTAAAAGTGGTTGAAATAGTACATTCTTTGTTATGTGTGTTTTATCACAATGAAAAAATAAGTCTTGCAAACGTGCGTACTTGAATCATTACAAGTAACAGATTACCTCTGATATAGCTCAAAACTAGAGAGGTTTTACCTCTACTAAGGCACTAGTATTTTCGGGCTGAGCGCAATGGCTCACACCTGTAATCCCAGCACTTTTGGAGGCCAAGGCAGGCGGATCACCTGAGGTCGGGAGGTCAAGACCAGCCTCACTAACATGGAGAAACCCCGTCTCTACTAAAAATACAAAATTAGCCAGGCGTGGTGGCGCATGCCTGTAATCCCAGCTACTTGGGAGGCTGAGGCAAGAGAATTGCTTGAACCTGGGAGCGGAGGTTGCGGTGAGCCGATCAAGTCATTGCACTCCAGTCTGACAACAAGAGTGAAATTCCATCTCAAAGAAAAAAAAAATCGCAGCACTTTGGGAGGTCAAGGCACCTGGATCACTTGAGGTTAAGAGTTTGAGACCAGCCTGGCCAACATGGCAAAACCCTGTCTCTGCTAAAAATACAAAAATTAGCCAGGCATGGTATTGGGTGCCTGTAATCCCAGTTACTCAGGAGGCTGAGACAGGAGAATCACTTGAACCTGGGAGGTGGAGGTTGCAGTGAGCCAAGATCATACCACTGCACTCCAGCCTGCATGTCAGAATGAAACTTCGTCTCAAACAACAGCAAAAAAAGACACTATTGTTTTTATTATCAACAAAGCCCTGGTCCAGCTAATGGTCGAATTCCTTTGCAAAAACTGTCATTCACAGTCACTTATTCTTTACAACTAAGTCAGCTAGGGAGGAACAGATCATCTATTTGCATGAAAGCAAGGGGAAGCCAGGGCAGTGCTATGTACTGAACTGTTTCACACTATCACAAATAAAATTACAGGTTGAGCCTCATCCCCCGCCACACACACACACACACACACACACACACACACACACACACACACACATTTGCACGCAGAGTATCAGGAAATAGCCTGTCCGTTTTGGCTGCAGACGCAGGGATTTTGGTTTCCTTGGCTTCTGAGCTGTTCTTGGAGCAGGGCCATCTAGGGAAACTGAGCAAGTACACAGGGCCATCAAACTTGGACTGGATCCATCAGGGACACACAAAAAAAACAGACTCTCCAGCCCTCTCTCCCAAGTGGAGCAGACAAAAGTGCTGTTGATCCTGAAGCCGCAGAAAGCTTCAGAAGGTCCCGTGGGAGGAAGCTTGGCATGAGAGGCCCCAGCTCCAACTGACCCTGGAAGGAGCAGCAGGCTGGGGTGGGATCCAGGCTCCGCTCCAACCAGAGAGCCCGCACTCTCGCCTTCTCACTGTGAAGGAGAGAAACCGCCTGCCTGGTAGCTTTTCCCTGGTGTCTGAGAAATGTTCTCAAAAAGACACCTCCCACCACCCATGGAAAAAAATGCTCATGATACAATGTTGAATGTCAAGATTCTATCATCTATCTATCTATCGTTTTTTTTGGAGACAGTCTTACTGTGTTGCCCAGGCTGGAATACAGTGACGCGATCTTGGCTCACTATAACCTTAGCCTCTCTGGGTTCAAGTGATTCTCC